GGGGGGGGGATTACCCCCTGTCGACCCTAGATAAGAGCCTGAAAGGTAGGCAATTTGAGCTACAAAACTCATGTATGTAGGCAACTTATCCTACGCCGCCCCTCCGTCAGCCGCCACTCACTACGCCCCTGGTGTAGGGGGTGGGAAAGAAGGAAAGGGGCAGAAAATGGGCTCTCCCTGCCACTCGCTCCCCGACACTGCCGAACTAATTTCACAAGATTTCCTGACCTAAACTAAAAAAAAAAATGTTGTTTTTAACTAGAGGGTGTGGGTGAGGGTGGGGGAGACAAAGTGAGCAGGGGAGGAGGGGGGGGGGTAAAATAACTCTCCTGGAAGTGTACATTGATATGTGAGTGTATCGAGTCAATCAGTGTAGAGGTCCCCAACCGCGACTGACCCCCGCGCGCCCAGCGGCCTACGAGCTGGCCGCCGGCCAGACCGCAAGGGCCGTCTCCGCTGCTCGGCCGCGGCCCCCCTCTCTCTCTCTCTGTCCTCTGCGATTCGAACAGTTGTATTGGCCGCAGGAGAAAGAGAGACGAAAGGACTGCGTGTGCGATGTGTCGTCTTGACTGGCTGGCTGTGGTTTACACTCCCGGCCCTCCCCGGCCCGGGTCGGCATCGCGACCAGGAAAGGGATGGAGAGGGGAGGGAACGGGGGGCCCCTCCCCTCCCCCCGCCTCACCCCGTCCCCCCATTGATCAATTGGCGCGACCAATTAGTTATGACTTGTGCCGCTTACCGCCTGGCGCGGCTGCTGGCCGCGTGAGTCCCCGGCCCCCGGCCACATCGCCAGACCAACAAAGAGCGGGGCTGCGGGCCGAGGGGCCGAGCTGGCGTGTGACTCGGGTGACTCGGCACTCGGCGGTGGCGCCAGCGCAGGCGAGGCAAGCACTGCAGACTGCAGGCAGACGGGCCTCGATGTACCAGGTAGATGATTAACCCTGCTCACTTTCTCACTTCTGTCTGTCGTTATGCTGTACCGCACGCACGAGCGCAGGCGGGTTGCCTACTCGCTTGGCCCGTAAGGCGCCTTGGACGAGGGCGATAGGCAAGCCCGCCCGCACTCGCGCGCGCGGTACAGCATAACGACAGATGCGAGCGGGGTTAATCAGCCACCTGGTACTGACCTCCTCACCACCGCCTTCCTTTATCTTTCACTTGCGACCCCCAAAGCGCGAGGATAGGTAGGCAACGAGGGAGTCACTGGGTATGAAGAAGAAAGGGAAGAACATATAGCGGCTCGCTGACAGAGCGTAGCATCAAAACGCACCATAACAAAACCGTAGACCAATCAAAAATCACCGTTTCCGCTGACCTGCATCAGTTAGATTTGGTTCGATTGGTGGTTACTGCTGTGGAATCTGAGTGTGATCAAACTGATAAACAATTTAAGACCGGGGACTTTTTCTTTGCTTAAGTCCCTTGTCTCTGTTGCTTATCCATAATTCCTCTCGTCGCAAGACCGAGTCGCAGCTCAAGGCACAAATGGTTCATGCGGCATGTAAATGGTTGTAAAAACTGAAGTTTAGTTCTATTCACCAGACCAAGTGCTTGTTTCAAGGAGGTCACGCCGAAGACTGGGCCGAGGGTGATTCGATGCGATCATGTGGGACTCGCCCCGGCAGGTAGGGGAAGTGTGGTCGTCACACAAAGAGAATGTCGCTGTATTGTGTTTGTGACGAGGCGAGAGATCATAGGCGCGGCTCTGG